TGCTGACACATGAGTTTATAGAGGTGACCCACCTGATGGTTTGATCTGAGCATATGAAACAGAACACGAAGAAGACATTCTTAACAACTTCTTCTTCTTTCATTCGCATGAAATAATTTATCTGTATCTATAATGCTGACTCTAGTATGAACTTCACTGTCTTTTGCAATTCCCTAAGTGGCCTGTAAAGTTTGACTTCTACAAGTGTCTCTTTTGGCCAGAAGTTTTACAATGAAACGTTGAATCTGGGACAGTCTTGGTGGAAATGATCTGTTGTCTCAGGTGCCAGTCCACAGGTACACATGGCTGATTTACCAACCTTAAATTGTCTGTACATGTGGCAGCGAAGTCGACTGTGCCCTGTTTTAAGGCGAAGGATAATGACTTGCTCTGGTCTGTCCATAATATGGTAATTGTCTTGTGCCAGTTTCGGTGGCATTCTAATTGATTTGATTATTCTCTTCTTCTGTTGATAAAAACTGGTATGTCGGGTTGTTCTTCAGTTGCACCTTCCTTAGCTAGTTCATCAGCTCTCTCGTTTCCAGGAATTGCACAGTGGGAAGGCATTACTCAATTACAACGGTTGCCTAGTTCAGATAATAGTGTCCATATACTTGGTGCCTGAAGTACCGCTGTTGCATCTGTCAAGAATACCACTGGTTGTGAAAAATACCCTGTATTTAGTAGTTTCTCTACCGCAATCTTGATGGCTTAAACTTCTGCACCATAGTTGTGACAGTGCTTTCCTGTTGGTATTTTGGCTGCATCCCTGGTAATATTAGGATACTCAATGTATGCTCCTGCACCTCCGTTTCTGACTGCGCTTTCTGCTGACCCATCTGTATAAACACAAACCTAAAGATTTTGCGGGTTCTTGACAACTGTCCATCTAGTCTTGCTCGCACATTCTAGTTTTCAGTCATATTAAATTATTGGCAACTGTCCATCTGGTCTCATACATTCCACAGCTACAGTCATATTACATTTTTTGGCAACTGTCCATCTGGTCTCATACATTCCACAGCTATGTCATATTACATGTTTTGGCAACTGTCCATCTGGTCTCATACATTCCACAGCTACAGTCATATTACATTTTTTGGCAACTGTCCATCTGGTCTCATAGATCCCACAGCTACAGTCACATTACATTTTTTGGCAACTGTCCATCTGGTCTCATACATTCCACAGCTACAGTCATATAACATTTTCTGGCAACTGTCCATCTGGTCTCATACATTCCACAGCTACAGTCATATTACATTTTTTGGCAACTGTCCGTCTGGTCTCTCACATTCTAAGTTTCAGTCATATCAAATTCTTGTGACATTTTCCATCTGGTCTCAAAAATTTCAGTTATATTAAATCATGGAAATATTTCATCTGGACTCATGTTTCAGTTTTAGTCATATTAAATTGTTGAACATTTTCTATGCGGTCTCACTCATTTTGCAATATTCAGTCATATTAAATTGTTGACCATTTTCTATCTATGTGGTCTCACTCATTCTGCAATATTCAGTCACATTAAATTGTTGACCATTTGCTATCTAGTCTCACACATTCCTCCACACTGGACAGTCACTAACTTCCTGTTTGATATTGTGTAATTAGCTAAACAAGACAAAAATCGTGCAAATAATATAACAATGTAAATGCCCACATTTAAGACACAGACATTTGTAGTCAGACTTTAACTAATCGAAAACTATGCTTCTATTTGCAGAAGACAAATTTAGTTGGCTTATGCACCTGTTGCATATATTTTTGTGCTTCAATTACCATATTTATAAATTTTTATTGGTCCCATTGTTGATTAATGTTTATTAAACACATTTTAGTATAAGTGGAGAACATCAGTGAGAATTTTAACAGAACAAGATCAAATATTTAAACACAAGTATGTATGAAACATCAGTGAGAATTCAAACAGAACAAGATCAAATATTTAAACACAAGTATGTATGAAACATCAGTGGGAATTTAAACAGAACAAGATCAAATATTTAAACACAAGTATGTATGAAACATCAGTGAGAATTTAAACAGAACAAGATCAAATATTTTACACAAGTACGTATGAAACATCAGTTAAGAGACCTGGAATGTACAGTTCACAGATCCCAGGACATATTAATTATCAAAATAATTATCTGTGTTTAATGAAGAGGAAACTTGAACCCAACCAACAGAATCTTTTTAACATTTAAATTATTTAAAACTTTATAAAATAACTCTGAGGAGAAAAAAAAATATATACATATAAGGCAAGTAAAATATTTCAATTACACAAATTTCTTTAGTCTTCACAAAGTATCATTTGATTAATGGATATTCTCACTTATGTTTAAAAACCACAAAACACTATGGGTACCACAAACCAGAACGGGTATTGATTTTTAAATGTGACTAGTAGATAATATCTACATGACATTTCCCTAATACAAACAAGGTGGTGGATGATGATTATATCATTTACTTCTTCCTCAGAGTTCATGTCTCTCTCATGAGAGGTAAAAGCCCTCCATGATTAGCCATGCAGGAGAGTTAGGAAATGAACAGGCAGACAGACTGGCTGGTTCTGCACCAACAGGTTATGAAATTATGCATGAAAAGCTAGATGTAGTCAAGGCCCCCGGAAGCAACCAATACAGACGCATAAATCGATTATTATAGTCTGGAGAGAATAGTACTACTACTAGGAGTGGCCAGAGGGTTTAGTTGACACTTTAGACTCTGAGGAAAGGCATATACTCAAACAGCTACTGGCACCACCAGAAGTGGAACTCTTTGTGGACTGCTGAAGATGAGGACAAAGCACTTATGGGAATTCCTGAGTACTGTTACGTAAGCACTTGGTTCAACACAAAACCTCAACATGATTAGGCATGTCCTAAACTAGAAATGGTGCGGGGGTACAGCATCAGAATGTTGAATTAGGAATCGACATCACAGCACACAGGACACTCCTGTAAGCACTCTGTCCCCATCTTCAGCAGCAAATGATGAGTTCCAATTCCAATGGCACCAGTAACTATCTCACTGTTTATCTATATGGCATCAGAGAACAAGCTCAGTTGTTGAGGGATGTTTGTATCTAGATAGTTTGGATATTTCTTGAGAGTTTAACAAAGTAAGACCATGTATTAGTATACAAACAATCTGATGAAGTGATTTATCTGTTTGGTAAGGTAATATTTCTCAGAAATATTTCAGTAAGATAGCTCTCTGACCATAGCCCTAGCCAATATTACTACAACACTTGAAACTTTTTTACAGTATAAATTTACATACAAAATATTCCAAAACAAATAACTAGAATACTTAGACCCTTCTGACAAATATTATACACTTAAAATATTTTGAAAACACATGACTATAACTTTTAGAACTTACTAAAAGTTATGACTATACTTTTAAAACATTTAAAACAAATGACTGTAATACTTAATACTTTTTGTCAGATATGATTCTACACTTAAAATATTTGGAAACATATGACTTTAGCTCTTAGAGCTTTCTGTAAGATATGATTATACAATTAAAATATTCTGAAACAGATAACTATAACATTTATAACATTCTGACAGATATGATTATAATACCTGATATTGTGTAAGAAATGATCAAACACCTGGTATTATCTGAAAATCTGCTAGACCTGTCTATAACATTTAATCTTATTTAGAGACTGATAAGATAGAGTGGCAGAAAAATAATATATTTAAAAAACAATGTTAGAAACTGAAAATCCACATCTGGAGAGAATGTTGCGGTTGGAAGTGTCTGTGAGCTCTTGGTGCCACTCAAAACCTGCAAAAAGGGGAGGGGGATAAATGGTTAACCAGAAGACAAAGGGTACCATTTGTATGGAGACTCTTTGGTGAATGTTGAGGAGGGAGACGGAGCTAATATGGACTTGTCCTGAATGTAGTGATGTCGAATTTTTATCCAGATGAACCCAGAATTAAAAATTAAAAATAAAAAAAAACTCTATAAGAATAGTGCAATAAATGTGATCAAATCATCTGGGACTATATGCCCAATAGACCTGACAATCTTGGCACTGTCTGGCAGGAATGGTAATTAATAACAATGGATACTGTCTAAACATCTGACAAAAATAATAATTACTGGTGCTTTATGTACTGTCGAGATGTCTTACTAGAATGGTCAACTCTTGGTTTTGTGTTTGGTTTACTGTCCGGATGTCAGAAAAGAATGACTGTGTGTTGTTTGGAGTCAAATATCACTGTTAAAGTTATCTTATTCAACTCAATATTGTCTGACTGTTCGATCACACCTTGGTGCTTTCTTTAGTTAAGAATATAAACTGAAAAGAATATACTACTGCCTGAATGTTTAACACATATGACCATAATATCCAATATTGTCTACTTGGTGTCTTGTACAGTTTAAAGAATCTAACTTTAAAACCCCGTACTGTCTTAGAAATATGACTGTATACCCTAGCAATGTTTAAAAAATATGACTATTTAACCTGGTAATGTAAAATAATATAGCTCTGAAACTGGACATTGTCTAAGGAATATGACTATAAAACCTGGCTCTGAATAATGACTATGACTATAAAACCTGGTGATTAGAAAACTTAGTACTTACTGTCTAGGTATGCACATATGACACATATGATGACAACATTAAGGACTATTCAAGCATCAAATGTAACTAAAATATGGTATACCAAGTGTCTGACACATTTCATTATTATGCTTAGTACTGTCTTAGTAAAACAATGATAATGCTACTGTCTCAGCGTACCAATAAGCACTTGGTACTGTCTGACAAATGTGATAAAATGAGTACACGGTTCCACATTTATTTTTACAGATAAGTAAAATGATTTTATAGTAAAAAGACAGGACAATATATTTACAGTGTCATTGTTTCAATTATATCAATATACATGTAAAAAATCAAAATTGTTTAAATATTCTGAAACAGAAATATTTAATTATAAATGTATGTCATCCATAGATCTAGACTTCAGAAGGGGCCTGTTCTATGCTTAAAATTTCAACAACATCTTTGGTGTGTGTATGTTTCCCGAGTTCAATATCATGTACAATGATTTCCTTCGGGATCCGACGTTCATAGTAGCGTTCCACGCAGGGCAGAAAGAACAGCATGATACCACTAAGAGCTATCAAAGCGCCCATCAGGATAAAAGAAATGTCATAGCTGCCTGTCCAGTCACACAGCCAACCTGGCAACAGAGGGAGAATGGTATGATTATAGGTTCGAAGTGAATGATGTCTGCTGTCTGTAAATTTGATGTCTGTCAATCTAGTAATTTTAAAGCTGCTGCTTGTATGTTCTATGTAAATCTGTAGTCTGTAAATATGGTGCCTGTAATTCTATTGTCTCTCAATTTCATGCCTGTAAATCTATTGTTTACAAATCTTGTACCTGTAGATCTGGTGCCTGTAAATCTGGTACTTGTAAGTCAGTTCTATATAAACCTGAAGCCTGTAAATCTGTTAACTGTATATCTTATATGTGTCAAAGCAGGATTTAGTGTGGCATCTTTGAAGAAAGTAGTTTGTCATTGCTTTCCTTCTTGGCAGTGACCTTACTATAGCCATTGTTACTATGGTGATTCTCTGCTTACCACTGGGGAACTTGAGACTATGACCAGTTATCTGTCAGCTGCTATCAACTCAGTTCACCATCTGGTTTCACATTATCTTAAGGGAGTTAAACAGCGAATCCACCTTGATCACATGTGTCCCATTGGCTAGCAGAGGAAAGGTTGCCTTACCTCTCCACTGAAAGAGATACACCTACCTAAGCTACTCAATCACTGTGATTAACTTGTCAAATGAGAAATTTTCAGGGATAAGAATAATTCCTGACTCATTCTACTGAAGGAATTAAAACACTCCCTCCATATCATTACAAGGATTCATTTAAGAAGTATAACTTATCAGAAACAAAGACTAGAGATGTTTTTGTACTCTGATAAGCAGCTGCTGTGTTATAGTGGCTAGATGCTCACCTGCAGATTTGAAGGTGGTTGGTTCAAATCTAAACATTTTGGGCTTTTAAAAAAAGAAACGACTTCGGCTTTCAGGTCGAACCAGCCTTAAATGGGCACTAGATAAAAAGTCCTTGAAAGTAAAGGCAGCCGGTATGATGTTGATCACATCAGCCAACAAAGTGCTGATTGGTCTATAAAATATAGGTCTAGCCCTATATGCTTTAAGCTGTAGAAAAGGGTCCTTTACTTTAATACTGTGATAAAGATGATGATAATGTTGATGATTATTAAATCTTTTTTTACAAACAGACCTGCAATGGGTGGCCCCACAAAAGTTGCTGCTCCTTGAAACAAGAGGAGAAGGCCAAATGAGTTGGTCAAATACTCCAGGCCCAAGAGGTCAACAAGTACAACAGAAGTCAAGGATACATAAACACCTGCAGAGAAAAGAAAAAAAAACCTTTGTAGTAGATTTTCTTCAAGATGGGTATGATTAAAACTAAAACTAAACCTAGTCAATAATATAAAGTGTAAAGCATATTATTATTATTCTTTGGTACGTTCACTGGCTGAAAACTCTAGCAGAAAGTTCTGAATGTTCATCCACACCCGGATTTTAGTCTTGTTCCTGAACGTGAATGTTGCGTGCACATCCATTTTACAAATCTGGCTTATCTGTATGCAGACTTTTGGTTCCATGCCTTTCAGGCAGTTGGATGCCTCCAATTAGTCAACAGCCTATGACAAATAAGATGGGAAGGCAGTGGGTCTATTCTTGTTTTCCCCCACAATGGGGCCCTGGAACTCATACAGGGAAAGCAAATTACTATATTAATAATGAAATAAAGTATGGTGGGGGGTGATGATGATGGTCATTGTTCCCCTCCAGGATTGCTGTCCATAGGATTAACTCATTCAGTTCCAATGAACTCTCCATGCATTTATTGATTACTCCATAAGTGAAATGTCTCTTCTAAACTCATTGCTCATTGATAAATACTTGGGAATGCACAAGGTAAGTGATACCTACCTGGGACTGAAAGAGTTGAGACCTCTGTAGGATAACATCTAAACAATGAATATCAAACAAAAGCGAACTCCAGACACCCCTTTCAGCTCCATAACCCAAATACATTAGGGCGTTCCTATGGTTACAAAGTTGAACGGGTTTCTGGGGCCGGTCCCTGGGTAATTTTCATCCGAATGGTGGCACTTTTTTTACCGGGTGTTTATCACTCTTTGTGATGTCCTGCTGGGGTTGAACATCACCATGTTCACAATTTATGTTTTTCTGCAGTTATAGACCTGCCTATAATTTATGTTTCGTGTCAACAGTAGGCATTTCTATAATTTGTTTTTTATGTCATTCAGAGCCATATCCATAATTTATATTTATGTTTTATCTACATTTGTGTCTATAATTTATCGTGTCAATCAGAACCATGTCCAAAATTTGTGTTTTTCTGAAGTAGCAGCCATGTCTATAATTTATGTTTACGTGTCAACTACACTTATGTCTAATTTATGTTTTTGTATCAAAGAAAGCCAATTCTATACTTAGTGTGTTTGTATCAATCAGAGCCATATCTAAAATGTGTTAACTTCACCTGTGCCTATTTTTTATGTTTCTGTGACATCTAGAAAAATGCTTTTATGTTTATAGTCTATGTCTATAATTTATTACATGTGACACCTACAACTGTGTCTATAATTTATTTACACAAATGTATATAATTTTTTTTTTAAAAACTGTCAACACCTTATTTACAAGAATTATTTTCACAACTGTCTTTTATTTATTCACACAACTGTCTACAATTTTATTTATATGTTTGAGCCACATGTTAAAAGTTTATGTGCAACCTTCACTACAACTGTCTCTATAATGTATGCACATGTATTAAACACAGTTGTAAGTAAAAGTAAGCAAAGCACCCTTTTAACACTTTTGGCACATTAGGCACTACATATATTTTTATACACCAGTCAGCACTCAATTGGTAATGGGGTCAACATCAAGCGGTCACCTTTACTTGCCAGAACAGATTATATACACATGCAGTGTCCACGACTCACATCTGTATGTTGCTGCAGGGAAGATGCATGCTCTCAAAATTTTAATTGTGATTTCTTTGCAGGTGCTTAAGCATAGACTTTTAAGGCTGTTTAATCTTTGCATTGAACTGGCTATTCTCCTTTTGATTTCTGACAGTCTATATTGCTGTTTATTATAGAAACTAGATATTCAGTTTATGACATTTTCAGTTTCTTCATAATTATTGTTATTTTTGAGTGACAGCCAGTTTTGTCTGTCGACATTGTTTTTATTTTATTTAAATTTAAGAATCGGTTTTGATCTTCACTGTGATTTTTGGACAGGTGATTAAATTTTCTATTCCCATTACATTGTTCGAATGAGGATTATGTCATCTGCATTGCCAAGTTCTGGAAAAGGGTTGCCACTGGTTATGCACGGTTTAAAAATCTGGTTATTTTTTTACATTTCTCATTATGTTTTTTGCATATATATTGAACAGGTATGGTGAGAATGCACCATTGCCTCACTCCCTTTTGCACCTCGAATCAATTCAATGTTTCACCAGCTGCTCTGATGGCTGCTTGTTGTTCTTGATATCAGTTTTCAATTAGATCCACTAAATATGCTGAAAACCCCATTCTTTTCATAATACTCCACAATTTCTAATTAATGTTACTTATAAATAAGATAAAGTCATTTGAAATAGTTAAAAGGACCCTCTAACTCTCTCAGTGCTAGAGGGTTCATCATCAGAATCAGAGGCCCAAAGGGTAGTAAACAAAGATGTAAAATTGGCACATCTTGCATTCACTGTGCTTCTGGGTAGGAACCTATGAAAGTATGATGTTTCACTTGTGACTGAAAGAGTTAATGCCTATGATGTTGTTCAGTGTTGCATATAAATCTGGTGTTTGAACTATTGGAAAGGATCCTTTATTGCCTAAGTTTTGTATTACTTTATAAACCATTCAAGTCCTAAAATGATTAGATCTTTATGTTTTAACTGTTATATTTTAATTAATGGCTGTCTGAGCTGAGAGGAGTTAAAGTTATAATTGTTTCAGGCAGATAAGATTGATGTAAGAAATGGGCTAGCACTGTTAATTTAAACAAATAGCAGTCTAGGACAGAAAGAGTTTAAGTGCTAAAGGAAAGTTCATTGAGTTAAGTAGGACAGAGAAGTTTATATACAAGTTCTCTATAACTTATGACTGAGTTTGGTTCAGACTAACAAGTCATAGGTTGAGCTGGTCGTTAAGTTGACTATGTATTTTATGTTGTGTGTGGGCGTGTGTCTGTGTGTTAGTCTGTATGGTGTCTGTGTTCGTGTCTGTGTTGGTTCGTCTATATGAGCATTTTTGTGTGCATATGTATGTGTGTCTGTAAGTGTGTCTGTGTGAGTGTCAGTGTGTGTGTCAGTCTGTGTTGTGTATCTGTATGTGTGGCTGCGTGTGTTTCTGTGGGCGTGTGTCTATGTGTATGTTTGTATGTGTATATGTGTGGATGTGGCTGCGTGTTTGTCTGTGTGTGTGTCTGTCTGTCTGTCTGTGTGTATCTATGTTGTGTCTGTAGGTGTTTCTGCATGTGTGTCTGTGTGTCTATGCCTGTGTGTGTCTGTGGATGTGTGTTTCTGAGTGTTGCTTCCTGTGTACTTGTGTGTTCGTCTTTTTGATAATGTATGCTTGTGTCTGTGTGTGTGTGCGAGTGTTTGTGAGTTGGTGGGTGTATTAGTATGTGTGTATCATTATGTGTCTGTAGGTGTGTCTGTGTGTGTGGCTGCATGTGTGTCTGTCTGTGGCTGTGGCTTTGTGTGTGTCTGTGTGAGTCTCTATGGGTGTGTCTATTATATAATGTCTGTGTGTGTGTGTGGCTTCATGGGTATCTGCGTGTGTGTCTTTTTGAGAATGTGTGTGCGTCTGCGCGTGTGTGTCTGTGTAAGAGTTTGTGCATCTGTGAGTGTATTTGTATGTGTGTGTGCCATTATGTGTCTGTGTGTGTATCTGTGTCTGTCTGTGGCTGTGAGTGACTGTGTGTGTGGCATTGTGTGTATCTGTGTGTGTCTCTATCTGTGTATTTATTATATCATGTCTGTGTGTCTCTGTTTTGGTTTATGCATCTGCCTGTATTTCTGTGTGTGTATGTGTGCATGTGACTGTATGCGTGCCTGTGTGTGTATCTGTGAATTTCCCTGCCTGTGTGTGTGTATGTGTTTGGGTGTGTGACTGTGACTGCATTCATGTGTGTCTGTGTGGGTTTATGCCTGTGTGTGTTGGTGTGTATGTTTGTATGGGTCTTTTTGTGCGGCTACGTGTGTGTATGTGTCTGTGTGGGTTTATGTCTGTGTGCGTCAGACGTGTGTGTTTGTATAGGTCTTTTTGTGCAGCTACATGTGTGTATGTATGTGTGTGTGTATAGCTGTGTGTCTATATGTGTCTGGGTTGTATGCGTGTGTGTTTTAGAGCGCATGTCTGTGTGGGTGACAGTGTGTTTGAATGTATGAATGTATGTATGTATGCATGTGTGTGTGCATGGTCGTATGTATGTGGATGTGTGTGTGTATTGGGTGCCTGTGTGTGTGTGTGTGTGAGTGAATGGGTTTGCGTGTGTATGTGGGTGTGTGTGTTCGCGCACATATTTTACCACCCATGCTTTTGTTTTTGGCTTGATATCCTTAGTATGCATATTATATTATTACATGAACATAACATGCTTTATTGATGAAATACAACTGCTGTGTGAAAAATGTAAAATTTGTAACCCTTTGAAAATAAAGTTCGTTCGTTCATTCATCTTGCCTCAGAAGCAGAAATATTTTGGTTATATCAAGCGCCATGGCGAACTGGGGAAAAATAACAGCAGAAGGCACTGTACCAGAAAGAAGGGCAGGGGCCGACCAACATAAAGATGGGTACAGAATATAAGTGACTGCTTGAGTATAAAAGTACACAAGGCAGGAGACCTGGCGAGAGACTGAGTTTCTTTTAGGCAAACTGTGATGAGAGGGATGTTCTGCAAAGGACCTGCTACATGATGATGATGATGTAACATTAAACAACGTCATTACACTAGAGGTTTAATAGAATTTCATGGGAGATGTGTGTCCCATGATCATGACAGGGGTAAGAAAGAACATATAAACTCGCAGTGACACTCTATAATTCAAGATCACTCACCAATGAAGACACCAAAAACTGCTGCATAAACAACCATCAGCGTATAATCTCCACCAAAAACAGGACTTAGAGCAGTGGCCACTCCACAAATGGTTAGGGCTGTGTTGTAGAGCATTAATCTGTTGACCCATGGTCGATCGGAGAGAAATCCAAAGATCACTCGACCGGCTGTATTTGCAATACCAATTACCGACAGTAGCAATGCTGCCTTATCTTCATCAATTCCAGCCAGCTTGGCTCTGAAAAAAAAGAGAAACATGGCTGATCTTTTTAAAGGATGACACATCAGTATTTGATCATGATTATTATGACTTTGGTGAGAGTGCCAACAGTGAGATAATCATTTCAAAGACTGCAACAGAGCAGACCATGATTAGATAGCTATCAAGAGGTAGATATAAAGAGAAAGACTGCCAGTCAGTCTGAAATTCAAAAGTTATGATGTAAAAATGAACGGTTCAGTTAGTTTCTAGTTATATTCTGATACTGTGTTTATCTATTTCTTGACATCAACAAACTGAGTTGCCAATGTCATTTGACCAAGAGTAGACTCAAGTTGTACAAAACTGTCATGTCACCATCCAAGAAATTATAGACGAGGTTGAGGCCAAGCACTGTTCAGTTCTTTTGATAGTGATGCTGAATTTGAGTGATCTAAGAAAGATAAAGTTGTTTTGAAGCCATAAAGGAAGCAACTCAATCTGAAAGCTGTGCAGGACATACCTGATTGTGAAATCAGTGACACTAACTTCTTCAGCGATGTGTTCACTGGTACTTTTCAGGCTTCGTGCTTTTTTTTCTGGCTTGACTCAATGAGGTTTCTGGCTGTCCAAGTTGAGAATGTCACTGAAAGGGACTTGATTTGAGCCATGATAATTTTTTATGCCAAACATGACAGCTGAGCTGTACTCCATCTCAAAAATACCTTCCAGACATGCCTGCAACAGTGGTGGGATCACAAGGAGAAAAGTGTGCAGTCCCAAACAACTAAGAAAGGATTAGGGTTTCAGACCTCCAGGTGAAATACTGTATCTGGCTACAGGTGGGACATTTTTTAAACAGACTTTGTACATACTATACATGGTTTTATAAGAAAGTTATTGAAAGATGCCTGCTTCCCAGCACAGTAACCAAAGTTTCAAGTCCCTTCCTGGTGTGGGGAATATTACCCTGGTGTGCCGACCATTACCCTGGTGTGGAGACCATTACCCTGGTGTGGGAAGCATTACCCTGGTGTGGGAAACATTACCCTGGTGTGGGGACCATTACCCTGTTGTGGGGACCATTACCCTGGTGTGGGGAACATTACCCTGGTGTGGGGACCATTACCCTGGTGTGGGGACCATTACCCTGGTGTGGGGGACCATTACCCTGGTCATCAATCTATTCAGGATTATATTTTTTCAGTTTAAAATGAAGGATTTTTAATGCACAGAACAAACACAATGATCTTCCTATGTTTTTTTTTTTCTTATTCAAAAAGGTTGGTTATATTTAACCCCTAGCCCAAAAGGGAGGCAGCACAGTATATTTATTTTGTAAGGATCCACAAAAGTCATTTATACCCAATCTACTCGATTCACAATCTTTGCAGCAGAAGTTACATTCCCCCCCCCCCCCCCCCATGCAACCTAAATTCCTGACCGTTTCTGTCACTATATAGTTGCATTCTGGATAGTAATTGAACAGTGCAAACCTCAGACACTCAGTTCAACATCACAAGAAGTGACATTTAGGACAAGCATAATGGCTACACCAAGTGAAATCTGGTGTACCCTTCAAGTCATGTGCAAGTAAGGGTATTACAGGTCATAGCTGTCTGGTTATCCCCCTTTGAGTTGCTACTTTAAAGTCTGATCACCTCTGAGACCTTAAGAGTCTCATCATGGGTGACAGATCAACACAGCAAACCTAGATACCCCATCCATCGTCTTTAAACAAAAAATTTGTTTAATTAGTGTGCCTGTAATAACTAAATCCAGGCTGAATGTAGCTTGCAGTCTCTGTGCATAATGGTAACTGTTGCAGAACAAAGATTGGCTGACCAACTTTTTACACCACTAGGATATCACACTGAGTGATAAACACCCGGTGACACATAGTGCCACCATTCAGATGAGGATCATATGTGGAGAGGTCCCAGAAATTATATTCAACTCATAGATTGGGTTATATTAGGGCCCCCAGCAACAGCCAGGGTGAGGCATAAAAAAATAAAAATAAAAATGTGTCCCATGTGGGGACAAAGATTATATATTTTTTTGTTTGATTTCGGCATAAAGACATAATGGATTAAAATATGATTACTGTTTGTAACACAATAACTATGATCAAGATGATAACATGTACTTACCTGTCAGGCAGAAAGATGAAAGGCATGTTGAAGCCAATGCTAGTGAAGAAGTTTGAAAAAGCAAACATCAAAAACACTGGATTCTTTAATAAAGACACAGAAAGCATGTCTTTCATTGTTGTTCGAAACTCTTCCGATAAATCCAAGCACCCAGCAGCTTTCTTCTCTCCCTTTTCTGAAACAATTTTAACTTCCACCCCATGAGATCCTGCAACTGTTGCAATGTAAACATCCGGCTGTGACCTGTACATGGGAATATTCTGTAAGCTGCCACTGTAGAAGATGTCTTTACGATGTAAAGGTGCCAGATTTGCTGATGAACCATGAGATGACTCACTATGTCTATGACTTCTTCTTCTCCTTGGCGCGGCTGCACTAGCTTGCTGTTCAGATTGTGCATCAGTCTGCTTGTGCAAGGCACTGTCTGAACTTGCAAAACTGGCAAGGTTTTGGTACCGGTCTGCATTAACCTCGCAATGACTGGCACTGAGGAGATATTTGTTATTTCCCTTTTCAGAGTCACCAGAATTAGAATTGACATTTGTTTCAAAAGATGAAGCTCTGTTAACAATTTCTGTGTTTTCAGAATTGTCCTTGGTTACTAAAGCGGCTGTTCCATTGGGCAAAACATGCATTGCTTGCAGACTGTTAATAATCTCAAAGGTCTCTGCTGCTGTGAGAGATTTATTCCTATCTCCATCACCCTGACCACTGTCATCATTTAGTGGCTTCTTGCTTAGCAGTACCACAGCTTCTACAGTAACAATATCTCCCCCTTTTAGTAGTTCTCTCTCTTCCTGATCTGTATTACTCAACAGAGCAACACTTTCAGCTTCAGTTGAGTCCTTTCTTGTAGACCTTCCACTTGACTCCAGGGGTCGGAAGATAATGCCACAGACAACAACGTTCAGGATGATGCCTCCGAGGATCAGCATGGCTCCCTGCCAGGAATACTCGTGAACTAGTAACTCTGTCAGAGGTGCCAATATGAAACAGACCTGTCAGCTGTTTTTTTTCCTGTGCAATGCCATGGTATTAAATATGGCCAGTGGCCGGTTTAGGTGTGAGCTGGTTAAATACCTTATGTAAAAATTCTACGGATGTATAGTAATCAACTTATCATGCCCGACTACTTCCATCAACAACAAACTACATTTGTTGTAGTGATTGTTGACTGTGGAGCCTCCAGCAACTGAAATATGCATTTACTGCATGCGTATAATTTTGGGTGACAAGTTTGTTCACCAGTTTTTCAATTGCAACAATCAGAGACATTTCATTTCATTTGCCCTGGCACAAGAACGGAGCAAGTATGGGGAAACCGGATTGCAGTGATGTTGAAAACTTGACAAACACTAAGTACACTGTAACTTACTATGTCATCCATGTGTCCTCTTCTGCTTCTTCTTTTCTTTCTTCTGTCCTACTGCATATGCCATAAAACATCACACAGGGAAGTTACATTTAGTCTCCTGCTTTTCTGCTAGCAGCTTTTCTTTAGTTTCTTTTTTACCCCATACACCCACCTCTTTCTTAGTCGATCTCTTATCTTGTAGCCTGCTCCTCTCGTAGTATGTTCTAACTGCTGGCTGGTTTTGTCCCATAAATGAAGCACACACAAAACAGCAACTGCAACCTACCATGCATACTGTAAAAGGCAACTACCGATGGCTGGTGTGACACTGGCTGGAGTTTTCCCATAGAAAATTGTAGCTGCAAAGATCTTACAAATCATGGACAAGTATACCATCCATGAGTTTGTTCTGAGGCCTATGTACTGCTAGGAGATGAAAGGTAGCAAAAACTAATACAACTGTTGCTGCTATTACTACTAGAATACTGAAGATTATATGTACAACCTGTCAAAACTCCAGAACTCATGTACAAATAGTAAAGGTTAGGTGCCCAGACACTAATGATGAATCCAAGAGCTGCAATAAAGGCTCCAACAATGGTAACATTTCGACATCCATAGCGGTTGGTTAGGGCACTTGATAAGGGGCCTGTGAAGAGAAACAGAAAATACTGATGGAAATGATATTAAAATTGCTTCACTAAATGTGTAAGGAGTAAATTAACCTATTTAGTATCAAGAGTCTGGTTATTGTTACTAATAAGACTATTTCTAAAAACCTTTTCAGCCTGTCTGTGTCGTTTTTACACACATCCACTTTTCCAACTTGTTAATTTAGCCAACTAATAATACTTTGGCTCTAATATTTATTATTTTAACTCCTACACATCCAATAAATTATTATTTTTAAATTATTACGTGGGTTCTGGGTTCCATTTTGGAGTCATAAAAAGATCTGAGTCGCTGCACACTAACAAGCATGTCATAAAAGACTTTTAGGGGTTTGCTGAAAAAAAAAATATTTTGAGCCGGAAAGTGCAGATATCAAACAATGTGGTACTTTATTTTTGGTTATTTTCAGTCTTTTCAACCCATCTGGGAGATTTGGTGGGAGTTCCCCAGAAAGTCCTTTAGTATGGAAGAGGGAATGGGAGGGGGGGGGGGAGTGGGAAGGGGTGTTGATCTGTTTTTTTTTTTGGGTTCTTAATTTATAATGTACCCCAAACACGAAATCCCCGTGGGAAATCCACAGCTGACCTGACAGTCCATTATTTAAAGTGGTGGAAGTGTGCTGTTGTGTGTGTGTGTTTTTTTTTTTTGAGTGTTCATCTAGTGTCTTCTAATCCTAACCCTAATCCTAACCCTTACCCTAAACTTGGCTGTAGATAAATCGCGAGAAACTACAACCTGAACACCCTAGAATTTATTGGGAATGTCTCCCGTGATGTTGTCGTGACGTCAGGGGTAAGTTATAAATTAAGTACCTTTTTTTTTCTTTAACAGAACCCTACCACACTAAAACTGCTACGTTCTAGACGTGTCATGTGATGGTTGTGTTCAGCGTGCTCATCGTTGATTGTGTCATCATTTCTAGTGTGTGTTTAATTTGGGTTCGTTGGTCGCCCTCACTGTGTTCTGTTTGCAAGGTGTTCTCACTTCATGACTTCGCCTTTATTGTGAATTTCTTTGACCTGTCAGAATTAGGGCATCTAACCATAGCACCCAACCAACGAGTGGGCATACATGGCAACTGGCTGCTTTTAAGGGCCTTCCCCACCGACACTCCAAGATGACTTTTTTCGGGGCCCGCCCTAAAATATTCCCAATTCGCATCCCACTGTCTATGGTCTGTCCAAGAGAAATACCGGTCGCTAAGTGAATTACAGAATACAGTGAAGTTAATACTAAAGACGACATTTCTGATAAAGATGATCTACTTAAGGCAACAACAACAAAAGAGGGGGAAACTAACCCCCCCCCCCCCTCCCCACAACTGCAGGACCTTCTGGGGAACTCCCTATGAGTTCCTAACCAAATCTCACAGCCGACAAAACGGGATGAAAAGCTGAAAAGTTCCTTATTTGTAATTCATCCCCAATAAAAGAAATCCCGGGACAGACCAATATTCTAGGGTGTAACAGGTTAGGGTTAGAATGAGTCGGTGTCTTTGAGGCAGTAGGGCCGGCCTGACAAATATCCTAACCTAACCGCAACCCATAACACCCCAAGAATAATGGACTTTCCCGTAGACTGGGATTTTCTTTGTTTAGGTAAAATACAAAGTGCCACGCTATTAAATTTCACATTTGAGCCTACAACGGCAGATAAAAAAAAATATGACTGCCTTGAGCGCGGGGGAAAATGGAGAGGGGGAATATAAATAAATGCTTTTTGTGTGTGTCAAGGAGGAAAATGTATCGGGACTTATTTCGTAAGGAAATGGGTCAAAAGATAAGAGACACATTTTTAAGTGTCATAAACAAGCATGTTTAACAAAATGACGCAGGTGTTAGAAGTACACAGTGTAGAGGCGTCGACAAAGTCCATTTTAGCTTTAATTGGGAATTTCACTCCGTTTTAGGAACTGAGTTCGAATCTTTTGGCAACAAAATGTCTTTAAACTGTGGAAAAAAATTAGTTAGTGTTAACATAAGCAGGCGCGCCGCCACAGAGAAAACACGGAGGAGCCTCGAGGAGGTTGAAAGAAGGGAGGGTTTCAACCCTCGTTTTCTTGCAAAATTATTAATAAAAATAAAATTTTTTATTATTACTGCGCAATTAAAAAGGTCTGAGCGCCCCTCATGACTAGAAACTTATTGTGGGTGGAGGTGCTATGAGAGGATTGTGCCTTGTTTAACTGTGCAATAATACTAATAACAGTATCCCAGATATCCTGTTTAAGGTCGAAAGAAGTTATTAGCGAATTCGTAACGGCTACACTAGCTTGGTGAAACCTGCAATCCTGTTAGGACAACTCAACCCATATCTCAGTCTCTGTTAGGACAACTCAACCCATATCTCAGTCTCTGTTAGGACAACTCAACCCATATCTCAGTCTCTGTTAGGACAACTCAACCCATATCAGTCTCTGTTAGGACAACTCAACCCATATCAGTCTCTGTTAGGACAACTCAACCCATATCTCAGTCTCTGTTAGGACAACTCAGCCCATATCTCACTCTCTGTTAGGACAACTCAACCCATATCAGTCTCTGTTAGGACAACTCAACCCATATCAGTCTCTGTTAGGACAACTCAACCCATATCTCAGTCTCTGTTAGGACAACTCAGCCCATATCAGTCTCTGTTAGGACAACTCAACCCATATCAGTCTCTGTTAGGACAACTCAACCCATATCAGTCTCTGTTAGGACAACTCAACCCATATCAGTCTCTGTTAGGACAACTCAACCCATATCTCAGTCTCTGTTAGGACAACTCAACCCA